AATCAACGTAGGCTTTCGCGTGCTCGACGCAGAAACACCGAAGCTCCTCTAAATCGGTCTACCCTCGAACGCACCCTCTGTTTTAATCCCATTCCGACGAGGGCAATAATTTTTCGATAATCGCCATAATCGAGTCGGCGGGCAAATTAAAATATTGCTGCGTGTAAAGTATCGGGTGTGTCGTGCTTGTCGGTAGGTTCTTTCCTCTTAATAAAGATTCATCTACCTTAACTATGTTAATAACTGTGTACACGTTCGATAAAGGGGTCATTTGGAATTTATAAAGAATTGCTTATGCCCATATTGTTATATATGGCTTCGTGTAAAAAAACAACCGTTGGAACATATATTTCTGGTACCATTTATGTTCCGCTTATCGCATTTAATGAATACTTCCACTGCAAAGTTGTAATACATGACTGGACATTTTAATTTGACCATTAATAAAATGCTTCGAAGCCTTCTACTTCTTGGCTCGAAACGCGCGACTATTAAAGCGTTAAAAATATTAAAAACCGCTGCGTTGGGGATTGAATCGACGACTTGGTGTGTCTTTGGTGTCGGGGTTCAATCTTATCTCCGTCGCGGAGGAACAACCGACCTATTCTCGGTGGGACATTGGGGTAGCCAACAGCAGGGAACAAGAAGCCAGGGCACTGTGAATTTCCAGGCGTTGCAACGCGGCCCATTCGATCAGCATTTGCGGGGAAATGAGCAATAGATCGAAGGCATGGCCGTAGAGAACGGATCTAGCGGTCGTGGAGGGCGAGAGAGAAAGGAATCGTGTGACTGAATGGCGGAAACGATGAAGCAGACTCGAAGTGAGAGAGATAGAACGCGAGCGCAAGCGCGTACCGCATCGTACACACGCGCGTAATCCACAGCGTGACTATTAGTCGTAAGTCAATAATAAAGCCCTTGTCCTGGACCGACCATAATGGCTCCAGTGAATTATTCTGTCCAGGATGCATTGTCCTGCCGGATCGTCCGCTGGGATAGAATTGTCGACGGCCACCGGCGATATATGCGGTGTACACACGCGTAAGATCTCGAACGCGTCTACGGGCGTATTCACGTACGGAGCCCCCGTAATTGAGATGGATGTTCAATTAATTTGACCAGGTTTCATTTGCACACCGGACACACTCCGTCCCGACGATTTCGAGCACACTTCGTTTCCTTTTCTTCCGCGCGATCGCCTCGCCTGAGATCGACAGCTTTCATCCTGAGCATCTCGATCATCCGCGGGATCGACTTTTGTTTCACGCCTCCGAAGATTACTCGGACGTAATCGAAGTTTCGTTAACGGATAAGACAGGCTTTGTGCACCGAGGAGTGGTTCCTCCGATAACAGAATCCGCGAGTTGATTATCAAATTAATATCGAAACTTTGTAGATTCGGAAACGATGACAGGATAATTTTTAAACGGGTTTGGAAAGTATTTGGCAACGAAATATAATTTATTCCAATAAGGATTTCCTACCCAGACGCGTCTAGTTAAGAGTTGAGGGCCGTCGTTCCACGTCACCTGAATTCACCTGCATGTAGTTGACATCGTATTAACCGTGAAATAGGATAACTTGAGATTTCGACGAAGACTCGTTCCCCAATTGTGGAGGTAGATTACTCGTCGGAATCGGGAAAGTTTCGCTCGAAATCCGTTAACGAATAGCTCAAAGTTCACCCGAACTCGCTACCTAATTCCCGATCAGTTTTATTTGCCCCCGCCGCGGCACGTCGAGTTCCGACGGAAAATTCTACGCATCGGAAGAATTTCAAATTGTTTCGAGAATGATCCTTCGATCGACGAGCCTCCGCTCCTCCGGTTATAGCCGGAATCGTTGAAAGCTAAAGTTGGGAGGAATATTCTCGGGAAATCTCGTCGGAAGTATTGGATCCGGGCCTCGCGAAATTGTTGACGTTCGATCGCTCGAAAGCTGACAGCGATCGTTAAATAATACGTAAAGTAACCATCGTGTTAATGAAACTTTAGAAGTCACATTGACAAAATGAAATTTCTAGTCGAAACGTCAAAATTAAATAAAATATAGTTCGTAAAAATTTTTTATACCCACGAAGACCTAATATTTCGTTCGCGCGGTGCGTTTGACAAATTGCTATGCTCGTCCAAGTTATAGTCGTTCGCGTAACGACGCCCCGAACGGGCGTAGGTGGAAGGTGTCGAACAAATTGGAACTTCAAAGACATTTCCCTTCTCCGAATGGCGTCCCCTTTTTCCTCCGTCTTCTTTTCGCCGGCGTTTCTCGCGGAAATAAACTTCGAACGAGCGTGAAACTACCCACGAGGTGCAACGTGTGTCTATTCTTACGTAATAGACGTAACTCGGCTTCGCGAGGATGAATGTGGCCCTGACAGGTAGCGATATTACGAATTTATCGAGGATTCGGACGATGCTTAGTCGACGTAACGTCAATACGCTTCACCTCGCCCGTGGCGAACTTCCTTCGCATTGTAATTCACTTCCCGTCTTGCTGGAATACCTTGGAACGTTTCGACGATTCCGCCAAATTTTCTCTCCGTCCATTTTTACCCTTTTATTTTCTCTGCTCTTCGCATGGCCGATGGACCTCTATCGTGGCACGCGCTGAAATTTTTTTGGAACGCAAAATTAAATTTGCTCTTCACGGTGAAATTAATATTTCTCAAGCTTGGCTGGTTCTTTTTAGAGTCTAGTACCGGTGACTCGTAATTCATGCGCGATAAAGGGCCAACGGCGCCCATTGGCGACGTTAATGTTCGACTGAACCATAATCAATCTGACGCGGTCTGTTTGCGCGTCATATCGGGATGCTTCGCCACACAGCGGCCACGGGCGGATTCGCGGTCCGCGTATTTGCGGATTCAGGTAGCAAAGGTATCCGCTGGCCGAAGATTATCGGGGAATTGAAATTGCAGCCAGGCTGGATTACAACAGACTGAGCTGTCACGTGACAACATTAATGGCACACCGGGTAATTGGTAACAGCGTCACGCGAGCTGTCACGATCGAGCTGTAAACATCGTGTTTAGAAGCGCGATGTCTTTTAGCGGTTGTTCGAGCAGCAAAAGAGGAATCATCGATACGTCATTAGATACATCTGCAACACCGAATGCTCGAGGATCGCGAGACTTGGGAAAAGGCAGCTAGAAAAAACAATTTCATCCGAGACCGCTGTGATATCGTAGCACTGCGGTTTACTTCGTCCGCGAACCGCGACAGTTCGACGGGCAAACATCGAAAGAACGAGGGAGAGGATGCTGGTTAAAGATGAACCACTTTCGGGCGGGGATCGGTCGACGACGGTCTTTAAAATATTCACGCGACGCTGCGTTTGACGGGACGCTCGGAAAGGACGAGTGCCGTCCCCCAGGACGCCGGGACGCATTCTCCCGGAGGTTTCTCTGTCGGGCCGCGTGGTCCCTCCATCGATTCTGACGTTGAGACCGGTCCAGAAGCGATTTGACACAGGGACGTACCGTATCGACGCACGCGAAAAACAGGGGAGAAAAAGGAGAACGGCCATTGTGACTTTTGATGACAATCGTCGCGGCCGACGAGGACATTTGATCGAATGAATCGATTGGTTTCTATGGGTCTTCTAAACACAGCCGGATAGGGGGTGTGGGGCGCGTCAAAGGGCTGGAGAACCGGAAAGGGTAGTGGAACGAGAGGAATGAAGAGCTAGTCCCTGGAGAGGAGTAGCAGCCAACGCTGGATAGAGAGACGAGCAAAGAGAGAGAGAGGGAACGATCCTGTGCCAGGGCGAGGGTGGCGAGGGGATGAGCTGGGAAAACCGAGTAGCTCCAGGCTCATTTGAATCCGACGCTCGATAATGTCCCTAGAGAACACCGAAATATCTCGGTGCATGTACACGTACGTACATCGCGATATTTTAACGCCCTCCGACGGTCCCCGATGACGTTTTCCGTGGCGATGACGTTCGTCAATGCCAGGCAATCAAATTCAACAAGGAAAGAACCTGGACGCCAAGAACAGTCTACGAAGACGCGTTGGATCAATTCGCGATTTTTGCCGGTATTTATTTTTACGAGAAAGAACCGATTCGAGGAAATTGGATGCAAGAAAATAGAAAAAGATCGAAAGATGTCGGGAAGCTAAGGACGCTTTTTCGCTGTACAGAACGGTTGGCTGGCAGGGTGAGTTCAACGACCCACCGCAGAAGGGCGAATATGGTCTCAAACACGCAACCAAATGGTATCAGGAACACAATTTTTCATTCTAACGGATGCCTGAAGTTTCGATCTTCAACTTGTCGCAAGGTGTACTTTAATTTAATTTAATAACGTCCGCATTATGCAGTATGTATGAGGGGAAATACATAATTCAAACGACGATACATATAAATGCGTAAAAGGGAAGGTACGGTCGAAGCAGCGTTATACAATGTAACCTCAAAATACCTGATTTAAACTAAAATAAAGGGGGAAGGTGACGGTGTTGAAGCCGTGAGGCGGCTCGAAGGACATAAATTTGAAAACAGTCACGACTATCAAGTTCGATTGGATTTGCAAGGGTCGAAGAGAAGTCACGGGCAAGAAGCAACATTCGCCGGAGGGGTGGGTTGGATTTTCCTCCCGCGAGGTGGAGTTTAGAGGTCGGGAAATTAGTTTAGTTATGCGCCCGGCAGGGACGTCTCCTGCATCTCTAGGACGAACGTAAGTCGACGAGCACGTACTTAGACGTTTCAACGTTCTGACTTTCCGCCCTCGCTCCTCTTTAACTTCCTCCAGAATTCCTCTTTTTCCCTATTTATCTACCTAGCGTCGGCTCGTCCGTGCTCTCGGAGAATCTCGAAGGTACCGAAGGGCCGTGGAAAAGCGATTCCCCGCGTACGAGGGAGGAAGGTCGCCGGGGGTGGGTTTTCCAAGGAGCCAAAGGCGGAACAGTTGGCCGACCATGATAGAAATCGACGTTCGCGAATTACCAGGGTCACTTTATGCACCGTGCAAGGGGATCGACGGAATTCGTGACGCTTACCTGGGAGTCTTCCTCGGTAAATATCGCGTCGAAGGCAAACATTTTCGGCGCCGCCACCGTCGGCCTTCGATCTTCCGCCGAAGGGGACTGTCCAGACGTCGGGTCGACCAGCGTCACCTGCTTCTTCCTCTTGTCGGCATTGAAGAAGCTCCCACCTTCTCCCGGAGACACCTTCAACATAACTTTCACCTGAAAATTGAAAATTAAATATTTCTTAGACACTCGTCTTCGGGGGAAGGCGAAACGCGCGGTGCAATTGCGCTCGAAACGCTTTAAAAATAAATTTCATTGGTCTTTCGAGGGTTGAAATGACCTTTCACCAGCTGTAAAGCATTTCCTGAACCCTCGAAAACAATTTCTATTCAATGTCCATTTTTATTTATAATTTGCGTAGCGGCGTGAAAATTAAAAAGGTCTTATTTATTATTAAAACAAATTAATAATACGAGTATACCATCGTCCCGAAAATACATTGCTGCGTTATTTATAGACGATTAAAAATGTGTCGGTGTTCTCGAGTTGGCTGGAATAGGTTCGCGCTACAAACTAAATGAAATCGTCTTTTAGTCGAATAAGTCCAAGTTGCTCTGTCAGCTTCGACCGAAAATAGACGGCTAATATAAGGAGGAATTAAGTAAACCGATGCGGTTCAACGAACCGTCCCAACGATTCTCGTGCCAAATGCAAATGAAAATTTATTGCTCAACCCCGGAATATTATAGCAGGATATTTCCATTCTCGATTCGTTTGAATCTCTAAACCGTATAGAAGCAGAAGCAGAATTGTTCAAACCCATTCTGTGCAAGGTAGACATCTTTAATCAAATCGAGCATGTAATGTACCGATTCAAACTCGCCAAGTTGGTTTGGTCGGCATCCATTCGCAGATTCAAAACGGTATCGATCTTAGAGACGTAACAACCGAATTGCGTAATTATACGCGCGTCAGGACGACGGTGTCCCGTTCTGGAGCAACCTAACTCTTACACTGTCATGGGAGCACCGAGAAATTAGTCGATCGTCGAGTAATTGTTACGTAACGTTCAATTACGAGCACGGACGGAGAAGCAGCAAGTTTGACGTCGTCGAGAACAATCGTCCCAAACCTCTCGTTCGCGTTCGATCACAGGAATAAACGTCGAAAGGAACCATTATTTATAATACACGATACGTACATACTAATGGATATATCCTGAATAAATAAATAAAAATATCTCATTTCCCGCTCGGAGAAAAATACTTGGCGGTCCTGACTATTTATCAAAGTTTCTGCTCGACGTCGCTCCCACCCACACCCTCGCTCGTTGATCGAAGAAACTCGAATCGAATTTCCAAACGTGAAGAGGAACAACAGGCTCCGCGGGGAGGAGGCCGAACGATGCATCGACGCGTCGTTAAAACTGCATTCGTTGCTCGGAGATCGATGTTCGTAGGCGGCGGTGTACCGTCGCGTCACGGCGTCCGTTCGGCCCGACTGGCCAGGAAATTGCGTTTCGAGATTTCGTTCAGATTGCCGTGCACGTTCCATCTTTTGCATACGGAACGGCCCTCGTCGCGACCGGGCCACGCTGCGAAAAAGAGACGCTCCACTTTTCTCGGTTCAGACCACCCACCGTCTAGATGTACTTTCTTTCTCGCCGGCGACCACGTCGTCTCTGTACCCAGAGTAGTTTACCGTGAAAAAGACCGAGCGCCAGCGATCGAGGAACCGGAAATAAAATAGCTCCTTTCCAGTCTTATTGAGAAAACTCTGCGTATCGATTGGCCCCACCTCCCTCTTTCTTCTTGCTCGCTTCGTGCTCGAACCTCCCACGCACGCATTTTTTTACGTCCAAGGTACAGCAAACATTCCGTTGACCGTAACGTACCAATAAACTTGTTTAACTCAAAAACGTTTCGCGTAGTTCCCTTACAAAACAAAGTTACAAGAATCGAACTTTTGTACAACCCCCAATTCGCGTGACTCTTTCGTTTCTCTTTGATCAGGCGAGTTCATACGTCTGGTAACGAGGCTGATTTCGGGACCGCGTATGTCCGTTTCGCACGAGCGGATCAAAGTTGGTCGCGAATGCCAAATTCCACTCGACGGACTTCGCGGCCGTTGATGAAACGCGAGAAAAGTCCGCGGTCTGCTTCGAGAGTATCGGAAGTTCCGAACACGTACCACCGCCATCGTCGATTTATGCACGCTTCTTGCAAGAAATACGCGAACGGTTTACGCGGTCCGTCTCGAGTTAATTAGTTCCGGCGCCCGGCCACGATTATTTCCGCGGCGGAGCTTCGTGTTTCCAGTTAAGCGTCCGCAATCTGGATCGAGTTCTGGAGGATTCGTTAATTTCCCTAACTTCAGAATTTTATCGAGTTCCGCTCGTTTCCTCTCCCATCGAGTCGCAAATTCCCTGCTTCGATCGCACCGGTACAGTGTCCACGGTGGACAAATTTATTTCTCTGTAACAATCCTTCTGGTACGAATTTTTAAACTATCTTGGAAAAATTCAAGGTCCCCCATTGTATGGTAGAGGGTTGGCTGTTGCATGCACTGCGGTCGCTATGATTTCTTATGTAGTATGAGCCAGTGGACGGGATATCTCTCCCTCTTTCGGAGGTCGAACTCAGCGTTAGATTTATAGGAAGTCCTCTTAGCTGGCACACTCATTTACCTTCGTGATTTACTCCGCTCTAATCTTCAATCTCAATGTAATGACCTTCCTAGGTTCTTCCTAGGCATGCTAGCAGAGTCTCTAAATTTCACGGGTGCGTTTCCTCTTCCGCTGTTCCTACAATCCTTTACCCGCCTCGATCGCGACCGAGATAGCAAAAGGCGAAGACAATGTTCGAAAGTGGCCATCAGATAACACGTATCCGAACACCCTCAGAAATCAGGAAACAATAGTTGCTTAATCGATACGCGACGTAGAATTTGTTCGATTAACCCTCGTCCAGCGTATTCTGGGTCCATTTCGATCCATGCAATCTACAGTCGGTAAATCATCCTGTCCAACAGTTCGTTCGTATTATATTTCTGGTAGTTCTTTACGATTCCCTTTTCTCGTATCGCGAGTAATAAAGAGGCGATCGTCGCGTTTAATCGCGAAGGGTTCCGTTCGGCGCGAGGAGGCGTTGATCCGACGCGGCAGTTTCTCGCTTTTAACAGAGGTCTCTCGGTGACACCGGAAACGGGCCGCGAGCCGGAAGCCTGCCGTTAATTTCTCAACGTCCAAACGGGAATCAGTCCTACCGTGCCTCATACACGGCCTCCGCTGTCGTTTCCTGGACGGACGTTAAAGTGTAGAAATGTTTTATGGCGTCAGCGGGCATTATCCGCCAATTTACGATCCTCGACTCCTCGCCGGCGTTCGTATCGCCGACGAACTGTCCCCGCCAACCTCGATATAAATTCGCATTTGTCCATTTTTACGGGGATCCACGCCGGGGCGAGAAAGGGACCCACCGTTACGGCCTTACATCGAGCTTGGTGCGCGTAAACGACGGATAAGCAGGGGAATTATGAAAGCTCGCTGAAGCGATAACTCGCGTGGGAAATACCGATGTAATTCCGCGGGGGAACGTAGACGATCTTCGCGGAGGCGACACGAGGAATTTTCTCATTCAGGAATTTGTAGAACGCGGGCTGCAGCGCGAAATGTGTGCATGGAAACCTATGCTCCGTGAAACGAGACGAAATTTCAACGAAACGAGTCGCGGATAAACAATTAACTTTCTTATTTTACGAAGCACGAGGATCCGAAAATCACATTTCGGCCCTGTTAATATATCCTGACTCGTTGAACCGGAGTGTGGAAATCTACGCGACCCATCGAATACCGTCTGAAAAACCTAAATAAATGAACCCCTCGCGACGCGTAACACGTAATGCTTTGTACCAAACTGCACAATGGCGTGCCACGAACGTCGCGAGGCTTCGAGCGAGAACGCGGATCATAAATCTGAGAATATAGAGACATAGGATGGAAAATTAATAACGGTAGACCGGGCAAGACAATGTATTTTCAGTATATCAATTTTCTATAATAGAGCTTTAATTAACGAGGGTGTTTTTCAATTTCCATTGACGTTTGACGCCTCGTGCATCGGGTAGAATATCCACGGTATTCGCGTTCAGGCACCTGAGAAGCAAACAAACAGAGATCGGTTCCAGCCGATCGGCTCCGCGCCAAATAACCAGAATTAATCGAACCCCGAGAGTTGCCTGGCTTTATTCCCGACAAGAGACCCGTTTCCGTAGTCTGCCGCGTAGCGAGTTCCGTTATAAGAGACCGAAACAGCCCGCGGGGATTCAACTTCGACGACGAACGTCATCAAAGCGATTGCTAGACGCGACGTCGGTGTCTCTTTGCGCGCGGATTACTCGAACGATCGGTGGATAATCTAAATAATCGTCGGCTGGAGGGGGGGAAATGTGATTCCTTCGTGGCAACCCCTTCGTTAAAACGGTAGTAACGTCATCGTCGAACAGCCCCAAGGCGATCTCCGAGTCGATCGACCGACCGCCCCCTGTGTCTTACGCGACGACTTTATCCGACGCGTCCGATAAGAAACTTCCTCGGGGGCACTCGATTACGCGAACTTCAGCCACGATAGAAACGTCGTTGGACCTTTTTGGAGCCGTCGATTTTACGAAGCATGACCGCGAAGTCCGCAGGAAATCTTCCTTTATCGTTTATCCGATAGGGGCATACGTAATAGAAGGAAGTTGAAGCTGGGGGGAAGTTGAGTATTTTCACTGTGAGCGTATCTAAGTACGAAGAGTGTTAGGTTTGTGAAATAGGAGCCACAGACACAGTCAAATGTTAAGTCGCGGAATTATAATTGATACAACTGTTTGATCAATTACTGTAAAGTGGAATGTTGCACAGCGCGATTAGATGGCGTATGACGCTACCATAAACCCTGGAGTACTGTACGTTTGATGAAGGCTAGTTTGGTACGTGGGTGGTTGTTCGGTGCTCGGTTGGGAAACTTTGAAACATAGTCGTTGCAGCGAAACGGAATACAAAATAGAAAGTTTACGACATTCGTGGAATCCTAAAGGTTACAGTCTTGATTTATACTCTTCTCGAGAAGGAGGAACAGACAACAATGGCAGTATCCATTTCGTGAAAAAATAGATATTTCTCTCCGAGTTTCTTCTAGGTTTTGACAGAATCTTCCATCGATACTTTCAATAAA